CCTTGGGTCACTTCTTACAAAATTTAATGTTACATTTTATTCTGGTCAGTTCTTACAAAACACAATGTTACATTTTGCTCTGGTTACTTCTTACAAAACACAATATCACTATTGTGCTTGGGTCACTTCTTACAAATTTAATGTTACATTTTATTCTGGTCAGTTCTTACAAAACACAATGTTACATTTTGCTCTGGTTACTTCTTACAAAACACAATATCACTATTGTGCTTGGGACACTTCTTACAAAACAATGTTATGTTTTGCTCTGGTCACTTCTTACAAAACACAATGTTACGTTTTGCTCTGGTCATTTCTTACAAAACACAATGTTACGTTTTGCTCTGGTCACTTCTTACAAAACAATGTTATGTTTTGCTCTGGTCACTTCTTACAAAACACAATGTTACATTTTGCTCTGGTCACTTCTTACAAAACACAATTTTACATTTTGCTCTGGTCACTTCTTACAAAACACAATTTTACATTTTGCTCTGGTCACTTCTTACAAAACACAATATTACATTTTGCTCTGGTTATTTTTTACAAAACACAATATCACTATTGTGCTTGGGACACTTCTTACAAAACAATGTTACGTTTTGCTCTGGTCACTTCTTACAAAACACAATGTTACGTTTTACTCTGGTCACTTGTTACAAAACACAATGTTACGTTTTACTCTGGTCACTTCTTACAAAACACAATGTTACGTTTTACTCTGGTCACTTCTTACAAAACACAATGTTACGTTTTGCTCTGGTCACTTCTTACAAAACACAATGTTACGTTTTACTCTGGTCACTTCTTACAAAACACAATGTTACGTTTTGCTCTGGTTACTTCTTACAAAACACAATATCACTATTGTGCTTGGGACACTTCTTACAAAACAATGTTACATTTTGCTCTGGTCACTTCTTACAAAACACAATGTTACGTTTTACTCTGGTCACTTCTTACATTCTATACTATTTACAGTGTTATAGTTAAATGCACAGTTTGATTATCTGTTTTATATCTTTGTAAGCTGTTTGAACGTGTGACAAATGCCAAGTGTTTGATGCATTCCCAAAAAACAAAACCTAAGTTGTAGATCATTTTACTGGCCCACAGTGCCTTATTCATTTGTCAGGAATAGCAACATCATGATACTGCCCCTGCTATCCAAATCATAGTGAGGAAGTGTACGGACCTGCTGAAACCATGTATCCTCTGCTGTGTTTTATAAATCTACAATGCTGGCATAACATGTTCCAGCAAAATTACCAATGAAGTCTTTCTAATCAGTGTCCCATCAATGAAAAATAGACCAACAGTATGTTATCCTATCAGGTCACATCAAACCATAACAATGTCTGTTTTCTGGTCTCGGGATCCTGCTACCCAGTGTATGTTTCCTTGGGAACAGTACCAATAACTATAGTAGTAAATTTTATAGTTGACTTGAAATATTTCCATATTTATCTAAGTCACCTTCTTGGTGAAGTTTTCATCCATTTATTTCCATGCCATGTACCTTTCACAAAACTTCATAATCTGATCTTGGTCATCTTCTGAGACATGTCCACCTTGTAAGGATTGAAGTTATGTTTTCTTTAGAACCTGGAGCATGCTTTTTGAGCAATTTGATGAGTTCACATTGTTGGGCTTGGTAAGAGATGGCCTGCCATTGTATCTGAAAGGGCCTCATTTATTTGCCCGGCATGGCTCGACTCGTAATCTGTGGGTCGCGGGTTCGAATCCCCATCACACCAAGCATGCTCGCCTTTTCAGCCATATTGGCATTATAATGTGACGGTCAATCCCACTATTCGTTGTTAAAAGAGTAGCCCAAGAGTTGGCAGTGGGTGGTGATGACTAGCTGCCTTCCCTCTAGTCTTACACTGCTAAATTAAGGATGGCTTGTGCAGATAGCCCTCGTGTAGCTTTGCATGAAATTCAAAAACAAAAGAAACAAGCCTCATTTATTGTTGTAGAAGGTCTTTTCCTGTATTTACAATCAGCCACAAAGTCAATTTCATAAAACTTAGCAAAAAAAAAACAACAATCAGTATGTGTGTGAAACCAATGTGTGTGTGTGTGTGTGTGTGTTTCTTGCTCTGCTGCTGTCTCAGTGCAGGTTTTCCACAAAAAAACACTTCCACATGATATTGCAAGGTTATAAATGACATCCCAAGTAATTATTGTAAGAAGAGAAAAACATGGCTTAGAATGATCATATAGTAAGGGTGGGATTTAAATGTATCATGGTGGTGAGCGGTACTTCAAATATAAATGTTAGTGTATGACTTTTGTATCAACGTATATAATAATTACTTTCTTCTTAAGGGCGATGAGTGTTAAAGCACCATTAACATGGCCTAGTGTGGGTTCAAGTAAAGAGAATATATAATTGTTTTAGAACTTTGCCGATGAAGGCCTTCTCACAATATTAGAACCCAGAATAAACTTGTTTGATATGCTATTTGTTTTCAGTCTTTTTATAAGAAACCCATATTGGTTTCATTGATATTGAAATATTTAAAAGTATTTCTAATTTTTATGTTTCATCATACTTGCCTCTCTTAACTGGGTTAATAATTTGTAATGGACTAAAACAACCAGGGTCGAGCAAAAACATTTTATTAAACTATCTCACAACTTTTCTCAGTTGACATATTATACACCATAGAAGTTAGTTATTCATGACTGATTGATTGATATAAAGTGTTTCAACTAAAGTTTTTTTGGTGCTATAACACAGCTGAACACATGATTTGTACTCTGACTAGAAGTCCTCATTTTGATCAACGTAAATGTTGGTCAAAACACATGTAAAATAATTTAGTGATAATACATTTCATCACTTTTACTTTCTGCTATAACGAGGATAACGTAGTGAAGCTCTACAGAAATTACTTTCTTGGTTACAATTTTAAATATGAATTTTTTCTTTTCATTGTTTATAGGAAGTTTATGTGAATTAAATGATAGGTTGAACAATCACCAAGTTTTTATGTATTTTTATTTAAAGAAGGATGATGTTTTAAGCTAGCACTCTTCATCAGATCGTACAGTTTCCTTTTTTTTTGTTGTTGTTGTAAATTCTACGATCTGATGAAGAGTGCTAGCTCAAATGTCATCCTTCTTTGAATAAAAATATATAATAACTTGGCGATTATTCAACCTATTATTTTAATTTTGATATTTTTGTCGCCTATGCGGTTTTAACTATATCTTTCTTTTTAGGAAGTTTATCTGCTTTGGTATACCAGCATTCTATAACTCCTTTGGCACTTCCATGCAGACTCTTGCTTCCAGAAGCAGGTAACCAGTTTTTATTATTTATATTTATTATCAACAATGTTCTCTGTGAATGTTTTAGTTTAGACGAAAAAAATTATGCATTTTTTTCAGTAATGTTTTACTAAAGACTTCTTGGTCCTCAGAATAACTACACAGGTGTATTTTTTTTTCAAATATGAGAATCAGCAACATAAATGGGTATCTGTATCAATTTTTTTTCATTAAAATATTCAACTATTTTATACTTAGATCCTTGTAAAGAGATGGTAGATGCTGTCCCATCTGAAGAATCCAGTGATACATCGTCATTACTGGTTCAAGGTGCTGGTAAGTGCTACTTCTACTATGTATTTTTTAAGCCATGTGTGCACAAACAATGCTGAAAGACAGTGCTCTGAGTTTACAAATTAGAACTAATCATTTAATGTGAACTTAGGTAAACAAGTATGTTTTACTTTAAGGGATAATTTTCCAGTCATATCAGATATTAAAACTTTTCATTAATGAACATAACAGCTTTAGCCTTATATGATAGAAACATGAATATATTTCTGTTTTCACGGAAATCTGAAAACAGCTAATATTATCAATTTCAATAGTCTTAACATTAAGCAGATGTGAATTTGAACTTGTAAAAAATGATGTTCGTTGAAGATAGTTGATGATTTAGCTTGCAATAAACATAAAACAAGAAGAAATTTTAATTGCAGTTTCAGTAATCCACATGTAAGGCTAGAGTTAAAAACTAAAATTTATATTTGAAAATTTTTGTAGTGTAATAGATAGTATTTTTAAAGTTAAATTGAATGTTACTTAGTACATTGGCCCTAGCTTTTATGGAGATTAAAAAAATCTTATTTTTTGTGCCTAAAGTTTTGAAACATTTGTGTATACAGAACTGTGTTGAAAATGCTGTTTAAATATAGTTTGCTATTTTATTACAAAGTTTGCAAGCTCCTTTGGCCAATGATGACAAAGGAATAAATTAAACCTAACTTGTTTCGTGTGCAATTTCTAGGAAAGTTTGAAACGATAAATACAACCATCTGGACTAGTACTACAGGAACTAAAAGTACATGGACAACCAAATCTTATTATAAATGTATTGAAATTATGGCATGGAAAAAAAGACCGTTTTCCCTTAAGGTTCTGTAGCTAAATACCTCTAAGTAACATAACAGATGGCTGTAAAGAACAGTTTTTACTCCACTGTACTTTGTATAATGTATTATGTTTGATTAGTTTTATTACACCTTTTTAATTGTGCCTTGTTTTTGAGAAGTATAAAATTAGTTGTGTTTTTTGCCAGAGATCTTGAGAAATTGTTTAGATGATATTGCCAATTCTAGAGGGCTAAATAAAGAAAATATAAACTTGAAAATCTTGTGTTACTCTTCAAATGCCTTTACTGTTCTGTTTCTGGTTTTGTAAAATTTTATTGTTTAAATCGTGACATGGTAAGTTTGTGTACGGTGTGCTGAACTAGTATTGTCATACGTTACTTAATGATGCACTAAACTGGAATGAATCACAAAGCATGATCTAATTTATCTGATCTTAATACATTATTTGATTCCTATCCCAAACTAAGCATGTGAATAAAACTTAAAAAAATGAATGGTGTGTAGCTTATGTTGTTAATCTCAATTTTGAAAGCTTGAATTTCAGTTCAGTTTTATGCATGAGGAAAATTTGTTAGTGTAATACAAGATACGGTAGGAATGGAAATTGAATTTTACTTGAGGATTTCTTTTAGCTAGCTTTTTTTGTTGTTACTTCTTTGTAAGTTAAAAATTTTATATTTCAGCTTGCAATGTGCTATACCTCAGCACAGTAGACATGGAGTCATTGACTGGCCCGCAAGCCATTCGAAAAGCCATTACAGAAACATTAGCAGCAAAGCCTGCACCCACCCCGACTGTCGTACACTTCAAAGTTTCCACTCAGGGAATAACCCTTACTGATAGCAACAGAAAGTACGTATTTTGTACTTTAAATTAAATGTTTGAAATCTCAGTTGAGCATTGTAAAGTTTTGTTTCTATTTTTAACAAAAGATATGTAAATTCGTACCAGTTAAATAAATTATCAGGGTTTTTTACTGTCTTCTTTTGCTAAATTATTATGAGCATTTAAAAACCTTTTATTGGTCAACTCCTGCTCCTTGCCTTATTTAATTGTCCTAGCCAAACCAAGAATTGACTTTATCTACAAATGGTTTCCATATCATAGTAAATCTCTTTTATTTTTTCTTTATCCATTCAATTGAGATATATTTGTGTTTCTTTATAAACTAATGTGTTGATGGTTTCTTAATATTATTTTGGTGTATTGTATTTGATTATACAGATTTTCAGTTTGAATAGACTGGTTAATTACTAGATATACCAAAAATCTCTCCAAAAAAAGTATAAGATGTTTTATAGTATATCATGAAAACTCAGAAAATATTCAATATATTCCCAAAATATCAAAATTATTTTTTAATAAAAATGTCCATTTACATAAAATCCTACTTAGGTATAGAAGGCCCGTAATTAATTCTAATGGTTGCAAACTGTAGGTTTAAATAAACATAGCATGAAGACCGTCGATGATTTTGGAAAGTTATAATGTGGAAGAAATATTTGAACATATTATTGATTCATTAAATGATTGCTATTAGATGTTAATCAACCAAATCATGTCTTAAGTATAAGTTGAAATACCATAAACTCACTCATTAACAATTTTCACTCTTTGTCAAAATTAGCTTGATTAATTTTTTAAACCATTCAAACTGAAAATAACTATTTTTGATCTTAGGTTGTTCTTCAGAAGACATTATCCAGTGAACAATATAAGTCATTGTGGGGCTGACCCAGAAGATCGCCACTGGGAACAAAAGAATAAAGAAGGACAAACTGTAAATTCCAGGTAACAATAATATATGTGAATCTTGAGTCTAATATCATTGATACAGATGTTCATTTGTCCGAAAAATAATTTATAATAATAACCCTGATTTAAATACACCATGTTATGTAAAACATAAATGCAGGAAATTAAACTGTAAACTTCTGTATTTGGATATGTTTAATGGTTGAGTACACTTTTAAAAAACGGATGAAATAAGTTTTGAGTCAGTATATAAATATACGATGAATTGTCTAATTTCGGTTTAAACTTGTATACTCTTAATAATATGCTAATATATGTAATTTTTTAAATTTTAAGTGATTAGGAATCATTCCAGATATAAAAAGTTACATATATTAATGTATTATTAAAAGTTTATAAATTTAAACCACAATTATATTTTAACATGTTCACTGCTGAGGATGCACATGTGGACATTTAACATTTGCTCGTTTGTGCTCACAATGCACATGTGCATCATAAATAAAAAAAAATGTAAAGATCACAAGTTTTAGATTTGTTGTTACTTCTGCTGTTTAAATTGAAAACACAAATGATATTGCACTGAAAATTCTTATCAGCACAAGCCATAGATGATGTCGCTCGTTTGTGCTCACAATGCACATGTGCATCATAAATAAAAAAATGTAAAGATCACAAGTTTTAGATTTGTTGTTACTTCTGCTGTTTAAATTGAAAACACAAATGATATTGCACTGAAAATTCTTATCAGCACAAGCCATAGATGATGTCGAGCATTGCAGCAATTAACATCTTAATGGTAATTTAACTTCAGATAGCAACTATGATAATAAAACATAATCACAATAAGTATTACCAACTTGTTATAAGCTTAAAACAAAGTTTCTTTGTATGTGTTGTTAGGGCAACTACGTGGTTTTAGAAATAGGCTTACTACGATTAGTTATATAGATGGAACCAGGTTACTGCATATTTATGTATAAAAACATATAATCTAAAAATAGTTGTATTTTCTATTTCAAAGTAATTTAACAAGTCTTGACATATATTTTCAAAAAGAAGAAAAAATAAAAAAACTTATTACAATTGAAATGACACATCAGTAATTAACTATTCCTGATCTTTCAGCCGATGTTTTGGTTTTGTGGCTAAAAAGCCAGCCAGTAAGACAGACAACCAGTGCCATGTTTTTGCTGAACTGGAACCAGAACAACCTGCATCAGCCATTGTCAACTTTGTGACTAAAGTAATGTTGTCAGCTACACAGCAGACAAAATCCAGCATGATTTAGGGTTCAGAAGGAATGTTAAAAGGCAGCTTCAGAGGGTTAACTTTGAACTACACTTATATTGTACAGGGCACTGCTTTTTGAAACATGTTTTGACTGTGGTCGGTATACTGACTCCTTCTCATTTGAAGGTTAGCCAGCTAGCTGTAAGTTTAAATAAGTCAAGTGTGGTCAATTCTCTGCCAAAACTGCAATATGACAGTTTTGACGATGGGTCAGAATTGGATCTGATTAATGTTGAAAACAATAATATCTCATAATAATTACTAAGTCTACTTCTTAATAACCCTAACTGTTAGTTTGAACTTCATCACAGTTAGATGTTACCTGACTTTTAGCTAGTTATTAAAGCTGACCTAGTTGTGTGATACGCAGATTCATACGTAGCTATAGCTCAAACCTTTTTGGGTAATTCATACTGTTAAGTATCGTAATTCATTTTTTAATGCTTTGGCTTTTGCTTCATCATAGCTAGCTGTGACCTCTGCCTTTTAGTCATGGAAGATCTAGTTGTGTGAATCCTTCTGAAATTACAGATATTGTCACTGGTTTGAAGTGTATGAATACAAAAAGTTGACTAAAAGTGTTTTTGATTCGTGAACTGATTTGAGGGAGCTGTTGAATATCTAAAGGTATAAAAAGAAGTTCTAGCATATACCTATAAAATAAACACTGCGAACAGTTTATTTTGCTAACATAAAATAGTATATTAAAATAAAAAGAGGGGATATCTTGGAAAGTAAAGTGTATCAGAGAATATTTACATGTTAACTCACAATATTTGACACATATGCTTTTGATGTGAGACTAATATCAGTTTTTCCCTGCTTCTTTGTGTACCTGAGTTAAAACAAATACAGTAACTGACTGTATAGAATGTTATAGTAAGTTTATTTTATTTTTTGCAGTGTTGTAAATATCGTCTTCCAGTGATTCCGAAGCACTTTCAAATTGGTTAATTGCTTATTTTTGTTCTGAATCTTTAATTTTGGGTATCTGAAAGTCTACATGCTTAGCATTATTTCTTATAAAGTGTGGTGTAAAAATGTTTTCAATATTGAGTTTGCTTTGTGAATCACCATGAGGCATTACAAGAGCTTCCGGTACAGGGTACCCAAAGTGAACAACAAATTTATTGTTTAATATTATTTACTCTTCTTGTATTATACAGTTGTATTACTTGAATTGTTGGCTTTAATAGTGCAGCTCTACAAGAACAGTTAAGAGCATTTCTGGAGTATCTATATAAGAATATGAATAACCACAAGAATACAATATGCTTCTGTTAGTTACATTTGACCGACAAAACTAATGCAGTCGGGTGCTGAAAGCTTGGTAATATCAGAAATTTAAATGATCGTTGTTAAGTTGAAGTTTTATGTAATCAAGTCAATTAATCCAATTATTGTCTATGTACTAAAAATGTTATGGTATATCTAGTTTAAAAAATTAACAACCAAAATTGATGTGTTAAAATATTGTGTGCACAATTCTTTTTTATGTGTTAGAAGATATCTAACTTTTAACTGATATGTACATTATAACACTTTATCTTGTTTTCAGTTGCTAAGTTTTTCGTTCATTCACATCAAGCTTAAAAGTATGTGTAACTAATCTTAAAGTGTTAAACTGTATTTAGTGATCTGTATGTATAATACCTATAATTGTTTTCTACGTTATCTAAACTATTCTCATAATATGTTTTTAGATTTTTTTCACATAGTCGTAATGTCTTTTGAAGCTTAATGAACCGAAAGGATTGTTATGATAATAAATTCAGTTGCAATTATTATGGAAAATAAAACTCTTGACATTTTTTGCTAAGAACAATCATTAGATATTTATCTGCTATTTTGTTCTTAATGACTTGTAATATTCATAATGCATTTTTTCTTTGTACAAAATTTCAAGATATTTATTTTAGGAAATTCCTTTTTTCTTCTTGTTGTTATTATTATTATTATTAAAATCTTTATTCACTTGAAAGATGGTATTCAAAGGATACAAAAGTCTAAATAATTACCCTTTGCAAATAAAATATTTCCTTAAGAATTCACATAGTGTAAACAAAAAAAATACACCTCCCATCCTTCTCCCCAGAAAGGATCACTGAAGTTTCCTTTCTACTTATAAAGCCTTATCATTTAGCCATATGACACATTGAAATGTGTCACAAAACTGTATTTACATGATTATGTTACAAATGTTTCTGATCTAAAATTGAATTAGTTTACTTCAAACACTGTAACTTTTGATTAGAATCAAATAATTGTGATATAAGGCTAACAAGCTAACTGGTGAAAGAGCGTTGGTAACTGAATGAAATTTTTGAAAGTTATTTTCATACATAACAAAGTATGTGTCTAGTATATGCTATCATGTAAGAAGATGATAAAAAAATATTATAATCTCGAGAGACAACCCTTAAACTGTAAATGATCATTTTAAAGATATTAAACAAATATCGGTTTAAGTTGAACATTTGTTATCAATATCTATAATCATTGAAACTGATTAAAAGAAGTTGGATCTTTTGTTTATCAATCAAATCTAATATTTCAAAATGATTTCTATCTTAAATATGTATAGACTTTCCAAGTCCATGTGCTTCTGTTATATAAATTATACCTAACTGGAAAATTAACAATGATTAATTCAACAGCTACTGAAGTTTATTTTTGTGCAAATCACTGTAGATATTGCTTGACAGCCATGTTGTTTTGTAACCACCTTTCTGTGTTCAAAGCAATGTTGATTACTGCTTGAGAGACCAAAACAACATATTATGCAAGTAACTTTTTTCACCTTATAACAGAAACTGGGATTTTGTAAAAAGCAGAATAATACGTAATGTTTTTTTAATGATTTAAACATTGGTATCTCTTTCTGTTTACAATAAAAATTAGTTTTATGAAAAATTACTTAAATTTTAATAGTACCTAATTTTCGTAAACGATACCACCTATTTTTTGTGTGCGAGTCAAGGGATAATCATGACAGTTGTCTTTTTTTTTGGTATATTTGGGAAAATATGGGCAATTTTGGTGTTATGTAATAACTACATTATGCATTGATTTAAAAAGTTGCTTGAATGGTGAGGCCATAATCTCGTGCCAAGAAGCTATGTAGTGTGTATAGATTTTGTTGCTTATTAATAAATTATGAAAAAAGTATTACTACTATTTTTATTATTCTATTTCTTTACTCTCTCCTCATATCAAGACATTACAACCACAAAAGAACTTTTGAAACTCAACCGTGTTCCAGCTACTTCTATGAAAAAGATAATATTAAGAGTCATGTACATATTACAAACATGTGCCTGGGAACATGTTGGCTATGCATAAAAACTTTTTTAAGAAATATATTTTTTTTGCTTTAGAATAAACATAAGATAAGAAACCACATCTTTTGCTTACTTCTTTATGAATTGCGTTAAATCATTTGACTGAAATTTGCTTTAGTGCAATCTTAAAACATTTATAGAGATCACTCAGCTTCAAAATTATAGATTTTTATTAAAAATCATTTATAGTTTTTCCAATCAGATAATTGAAACTCAAAAATATAATTAAAAAGAACAGATAAAGAGCTAAAATTACTAAAAGCATCTTTTAAAGTTCTTGTAAAATACTTTTTGAATCTAATATATTTTTTTTTACATATCGAGAAAAGAGTAACATTGAAAATGAAATTGAGAAAACACATTTTTGGAAATATTATGTAAACTATTATAAAATCAGAGTGGTAGTAATTTGAAAAATGTTTGGATAAGAAGCTTATCTCTAAGTAGAGCCGAGCATGACCCCAGTACTTGGTATTCTGGACTGTAGGTCCACCATTCTTGTCCAATTACCACAAAAAAAATGCTCTCTACACTTTCAGACTATGGGTGTGTTATAAGAGTGATAATCAGTCAAACAAGAGTTAGTGGTGGGTGCTGTTGACTAGTTGCCTTCCCTTTAGTCTATCAGTTAAAAGTAGGGATGGCTAGTGCAGATAGTCCTTGAGTAACTTGAGAAAACAACCAAACTTCCTGAATAGCTGGCTAAGACTATTATTAATGTACCTCGATTGTACATCTGTGGTACAGAATACAATTTCTAAATGTATACATCATTGAAAGGCTCTATGTGATCTCATCATTCAGAATGTCACACCAAAATATACTTGGACTTGGAGATTAACAAATATTAATAGATTTGTTACATTTGTATAAAATGGTTTTACATTTAGTAATTCAAAATGTTTTATTCTGAATGAAATGTGATTCTTGGTTATTCAAAAAAATTCCAGCTTTAGTATGGTTGAAAAAAACTGGTGGTGCAAGAAAAAGAAGAAAACACGTTAAAATTACTACTAATAAAAATGCTGACTGATATTATCCAAAATACTTAAGTTAAAACAAAACTGTACTGCTCAAACTTTCAATAATATGTACAATTCATTTGTGAATTTATCTGATGAAATAAACGAAAACCACATTGTGATATTGGTATTTCTAATAGATGGGGCCCGGCATGGCCAGGTGGTTATGGTGCTCAACTCTCAATCTGAGGGTCACAGGTTCGAATCCCCGTCAAACCAAACATGCTCGCCCTTTCAGCCGTGTGGGGCATTATAATGTGACGGTCAATCCCACTATTCGTTGGTAAAAGAGTAGCCCAAGAGTTGGCAGTGGGTGGCGATGACTAGCTGCCTTCCCTCTAGTCTTACACTGCTAAATTATGGACGGCTAGCGCAGATAGCCCTCTTGTAGCTTTGCGCAAAATTCAAAACAAACCAATGTAATAGATGCTACTATTTTCTCTTAAATATAGAGTTGATAATATTTTATATTATGTACTTCTTGCAATGATACTCTGCTCCATAATATAAATTGAATTATTTTCTATACAGTAAAACAGCCTTACATGTTTTTTATATATACATTAAGTATTTTTATTATTAGTGTGATTGGTTTATCACTAAAAGATATTAACCAAAGAGTACTGTGAATATTTTAATTATACCTGCAAGATAATAGCCACATTGACCAAAGGGTTATATTCACTTAGATCCAGCCAGGTGGTTAGGACACTTGACTAGCAATCTGAGGGTCGCGGGTTCAAATCCCTATCCCACCAAACATGCTCGCCCTATCAACCATGGAGGCATTATAATGTGACAGTCAATCCTACTATTCATTGGTAAAAGAGTTGGCAGTGGGTGGTGATGACTAGCTGCCTTCCCTCTAGTCTTTCACTGCTAAATTAGGGAAGCTAGCGCTGATGGCTCTCGTGTAGCTTTGCATGAAATAAAAAATAAACCAAATCACTTAGATCCATCAACAAGTGATCATAATTTATTATATATATTTATAATCTCTCTCTCAAGTAACATATAAAACAGTGGCAGAGATACAAATTATTGGTATCTAACAAGACTGGAAGAAACTGAAATTGATCCTAACTTGTCTCTATAGCCAGGATAAAGGTACTTTACATGTAGTAACTCAAGTGATTTCCCTACATAATCTTCAATTGGAATTGTCAGCACTGTATTTACACAAAGGTCCAGGTCAGAGATCCATAGGGCTCAAATATAGCACATCCTAATTTTTAATTTCTTATCAGAAAATAGGTAGCCAGACAGCAGCACCTACAACTAACACAGTTATGAAAAATGAAGTTTGAAATGTAAAAGAAGAAAACACACACACACCATAAAAAGAGAAGTGGAGTAAAAAAGTACGTATATATATATATATATATATTGTTGTTGTGTTTCACAAAATAGAGCTGTTACTTTGATATAACACAACTTTCTTCGTATATGATGTTTCTTTATAGTCCAGCACTAGCACTGTATACTCGCCAGGAATGATTTCAAAATATGAAAGCTATACTGACAAACAATAATATATCAATGTTACATCGAGCCTATACTTATGTGCGAATGCAAAACGTTGACAATAACAAAGGAAGTTGAGAGTAAACTTGAAGCAGTTAAAATGTGGTTACTAAGAAGAGTGCTTTGACTAGCCTGGACTAAGAAGAAAAGTTAGAACAAGTATTGATACAAGCCAACACACAACATCATCAAGAAAGTAAGAAAGAAACAAACTTGAATTCATAGGCCACTTAATGAGGAAATAAAAAAATTGAGCATAATAGTTTGGTTTGTTCTGAATTTCACGCAAAGCTACACTGCGTTAGCCATCCTTAATTGAGGAGTGATAGACAACAGAGAAGGCAGTTAGCCAACGCCACCTACTGCCACCTCTTGGGCTATTCTTTTACCAATAGGGAGATTGACTGTCACATTATAACATCCACATGGCTGAAAGGGCGAACACGTTTGGTGAGATGGAGATTCGAATCCACTGATTGCGTGTCAAGCTCCCTAACCACCAGGCCTTAAGCACAATGTAACAACTGACAAAAATAAATATACTTGACAGACTCGTGAAAGGGATAAGAGCCGTGAAAAATAACACAGAATTGATGATTAGCACCAGAGACAGAGATAAATGAACGTCATAATTGTAAATTCTTGCACACAGACACGACACTGGAGAAGAACTAGTTTTATATAATAATGCTAAACTTATTTAACATCCCAAAATATATTTCATCTTTAATTCTTCAAACTTGTTATTATAGCTTTTAACGCTTTATTTTTTTTTCTATGTATACATGATTAATAGCGTGTAACATGAGCCCTTTACCAAGAAAAAAACAAACAAACAATAATGCACTTTATTGAAATATAACTTCTGACCATTCAGTATTGCGACTAGGCATTGAGAAATATGTAAATACCGTACTTACTAGATGTTGTGTAAATGTGTGTGCATGTGATAAGCCAAGGTGGCTCGGGAGTAAGGTAATTTTCTTATCATACTCCCGGGCCCCATAGCAATGGTGTGGCATCATGAAAATTGATTATATATATATATATATAGCATCTAGACCACTACTCTGTCTGGTGTATAAGGCCAAACCACTTGATTCTTTGCTTCTCAATGTATTCACTGATTGGGGTTGTTCTGACTTTTACATTTCTTATCTTGTCTTTTCTAGTTATGTTAGCAGCTTTCCCTGAGCATCTCATCTCGCATGCTTTTCCATGCTTCATTTTTATTAAGAGTCCAGGTTGACATTTGGTAACATATGGTTGGTATAAAAATGGTGTTTATTAGTTTGCACTTTTTGTCTCCATCAGGATATTTGGGTGTTTCAGGAGAGGTTTTAACATATAGTTTACATAGTTTGCTTTTTGTATTTATGTTTCAAATTCACTATCTATTCTTCTGTGAATGTACTTCCCAGGTATTTGATTTCATTGACATGCTGAAACCTAGTGTTATTAATATTGACGTTTAACTGATGTGGTGTTCTACTTAATAACATTGTTTCTATTTCTCCTGTGCTGATTTTCATGTTGTACCTTTGGCAGCTACTGTTGAGGCTACTTGTGTAGTTTTGTAGCTCTTTTTAACTTGGATGTATTAAACTTTGGTCATCAACAAGAAATAATTCGTTTAGGGCTTCTTGATTTGGATTTGCTTCTTTAGTGAGCTGGTCCATATAAATGATGAATAGAAGAGGAATAAGACACAGCCTTCACTCACCCAAGATGATACTTGGAACTAGTTAGTAAAACCGTTTGTGATTCTCACAGCACTTTTACTGTCTGAATACATTGATCTTGTACAAGAGCTGGCCTTATACCCCATAATCTTCAAATACTTTCCACAATTTATTTTTGTTGACATGATTGAATGCTTTTTCTTAATTTATAAGGACAATTTTCAACTTTCGTTTGTGTTCAGTGACCTTCTCATTGAGTTGCCTTAGTGCAAATATTGCATCAGTGCAACCTCTGACTTTCCTTAAACTAAACTTAAGAATGGTTCAGTCTTGTATCTTGTCCATTGTTATTGGATTTTCTCATACATATTACCCACATGACTAAGAAGGAAAATGCTTCTATAAGGGCTACAATCTTTCTTATTACCTTTCTTTTTCCCAAATTGATACCACCATAGCTCTTTGCCAGTGTTCTGGAACTTTTTCTCTTTTATTAAATACTCCTATTAACCAATTTACTCTTATATCTTCACATACTTTTATTGTTTCTGATGTTATTCCATCAATCCCCACAGCTTTGTTCATTGGACTGGTCTTTA